CTTTCCGGGGAGCTCCATGGATCTTATTTCAGAAAAAGTATGTATTGAAGTCAATGGAGAGAGAAAGATTATCTCTCGATCACGTTTGAATTGTGCCACGAATTACACATATGATGTTTGTCAATTTAAAAGATCATTTTGCAAGTCAAGAAAAATGTAAATGTGTGGTAAACTGTGAAGTAACACTTTGTGTGAAACCGCTCAATGAACTACATCTCCCGTCTCGCACCACACACCCAGACGGCGTCACGTTGGAACATTTCACTTCTTTCTTTCAGAATGAGGCGGAAAGTATTAAAAGAAGTGAAAATCACTCCAAGTCTGGGCATGCTGAGAGCTGTACACACACACAAGGGGAGTTAGTCGGTTCAGTAAGAGCCAGCATGCGGGACCGGGACTCTGGGATTTGTAGTCTTTCTAGCTGCATATTTTTCATAGTCTTATATTTCAACAGTTTTACGACAAACTGTGACTTTTTTGACATGGAAATTATTTTTTAAGATTGACAAACATCATATGTGTAATTCATGGCACAATTCAAACGGGATCAAGAGATAAGCTTTCTCTCTCCATTGACTTCAATACATAATTTTTCCGGAATAAGGTCCCATGGGGCGGAAGTAGATGGGCGGGACTTCGCCTCTCTATAAACTCAAGCTGTGTCTCACCTCCACGCTTGAGGACACGTCTCTACATTGACAGACACCACCACTCTCACATTGACAGGAAGAGGGTCAATCAGCCACTTCATGTGTCTCTCTGCTTGCTGAAAAAAGGAGAACATAAGTGAGCGATGAGCTATTTCTAAATGAGACCAGTAACAAAATATGTGCAGCATATGCCTAATGTGGAGCGAACCTGTATTTGGTCGATGGAGTCGATGATGATGATGATGTTTCCTTGATGGCGTGCTGATAATCGTTCCAGCCAGCGGGGAAACTCCTCTAAGATCTTACTGGGCTCCATGGACAGACCGGATATGGACCAGAAGTGCTGCAGCAGCTACGTGACAGCAGAGAGAACTCATAGTTACAGTTGATCAGAAAGAGAGAGTGTCTTCACTGGAAGTATGCCTTTGAAGGAGCCCTTACTTTGACCGTGAGGCGTTTGATGATGAGCACCGGCTCTGAGCTGGTGGAAAGCGGGCGACCGACGAAATGATAAAGGAACAAGGTGTTGGGAGACTGCTTCTGCTGCTGCGCGATCCTGAGGAGGAGCACACAACGAAGGCTAACAGTAAATAATGTCCTGTCACAGTGTAGGCCTAAGAGTGGTGAACTACTCACTCCTCCCTTCTAAGCATACACAACACTTTAAATACTAAATAGCTTGATTTAAGAAGTGTCACGGGAAATATTACACTCCACTGAAAGAATACTTTCTCACCATTTGGAGAGCAGGAGTGACTTTCCTGAGCCCGGACCACCTGACACCAGCAGGGGAGGGGTGGGAGGAGGAGCAGCTATCATGTCATTCAGACGGTCTATATACTGAGGAGGACAGCACAGAGACATTCAAGAGAAAAACATTGATAGGGGGTTGGGATGCCAGAAACTGACCACGATCAAAATCGAAAATCGGACAGCCCTGGGGAATAATAATCGATTATTCGCCGCCCGCC